TGGGTGCCCCCCCCCACGCCTCAGCGACCCAGCCACACTGTGCTGCAGACGTCGAGTGAAGCAAGGCCAGCTCAGGCTGGTTCCGCAGTGTGACTGTTTTAAAACTTTTACGCTGCCATTCCAAATAGTTCAGGATGGCTCGGGACCTCTTCCACATAGCATAATCAGCCACCATGAAGGCCAATCAGTAGTAAAACTACACCTGATCACCAGGGCAGGCCTGAACAAAAAAGCCCTTTTGAACAATACAGTTTTGTGAGCCTTCCGGAAGGCTTAACGAAGACGGCGTTTCACCGAAGTCCTGGCAAAACACCTGGGCGTGGGCAGTAGTGGTGTGAGCCTTAGGAGGAGGACTCTGTGTAAGCAGAGACTGCTGGGGAATGGGGCTGGCCCAGGAGCCACTGACCCTTCGGATATTCGGGGTCCAGGATACAAAGGGCTTCCTGAGGCCCCAGGAGCACACGGGCTGCCATCGTAGCTCTTTTGATAGTGGCATAATGAGTGCAGAGCCATCAGTCCCAATCAGAGAAGGCAAGGCAAAACAAAAACCCGTGATCGTATTTAACAAGAAGTATATTTCATGGCTCAAGTGGTTAAGAAGCTGAACTGCAGTCTGGAAGGTTGGTAGTTCGGCAGTTTGAGACCTGAGTGTGGCGTGATGGAGTGAGCTCCCGTCTCTGGCCCCAGCTCCTGCTAACCTAGCAGTTTGAAAGCAAGAAATTGCAAGTGGATAAATAGATACTGCTTCGGTGGGAAGGTAACAGTGTTCCGTGTGCCTCGGCCTCTAGTCATGTCGGCCACATGACCACGGAAATGGTTTCGGACAGCACTGGCTCTTCGGCTTGGAAACGGAGATGAGCACCACACCTCTAGAGTCGGATTCGACTGCCTTTTGAGGAAGGGAAACCTTTACCTTTATTGCATAATATGAGACTTAAAATCATTTCATTAGGCTCAGTGTCAACAATTCCTTAGATAACAGGAGCCATCACATCATTCCATAGATGAGGAGAGCAATCTTCAGAAGTCTTCAGTAACGCAACAGCAGCTGTGCTGTGTGTCCGATCAAGTGCTTCACAAATCCAAGTGCACTTGGAAAAGATGAATATGAAATATATGAAGCACTAAAGCATCGTATACTACTACTAAGAAGCACTTTAATATTCAGTGGTCTACTGCTTTAAGAATTAAGGCAGACAAGATGGATTTGGGAAGCGCTTTATTGGACACACGGCACAGTCGCTGTTGCGTTACTGAAGTCTTCTGAAGATTGCTCCTGTTATCTAAGGAATGTTGACATGAAGCCTAATGAAATAATTTTAAGTCTCATATTATGCAACATACCTCTCGTTAAATACAATCGCGGGTTTTTGTTTTACTGTTTTGCTGTTTTCACCCCCGCGATTCTCTCTCTGCTTTTGCCAAGTCAGAAGATGGGCAGCCACATTACGCCCTAACTGATGCGTCCAGGTTGTCTCCAAGGGCAGCCCCACATACAGCACGTCGCAGAGGAGCACGGCCATGTCACATTGTGAGTCTGGCCGTTAGAGTCATGTCAGCAGAGATTTCCCGTGGAGGAGCTCTTAGGCGATGGCTGCCACAAAGATTTGAGCACAGTCGATCAGAAGCAGGGCCTTATGGGCTCTGACTTGGGGGTCTTTTAGTTCCTTCCGTCTCCCACCAGCCAGAGTCTGCTAGTAGGGTACAAAGGTGCTGGCCTCCTCTAGGTATCGGTCTCCATCACGCAGTGCTTAGAGTTAGACGTGCTTCTCTTTTATCTTTACAATAAGCCTCTGGGTAGGATAATGACCAAGTCTGTGTAAGGGACACTCAAAAAGACTGTAGCATCTCTTTTAAAAATGTTTTGAAGAAGAAGAGATTGGATTTCACTACCCAAGGGAGTCTCAGAGCGGTTTACAAAACTCCTTTCCCTCCCCCTCCCCACAACAGACACCCTGGGAGGTAGGTGGGGCTGAGAGAACTCTTGACAGAAACTGCTCTTTTTTCAAGAACAGCTGTGCCAGAACTATGGCTTGCCCAAGGTCATCCAGCAGGTGCAAGTGGAGGAGTGGGGAATCAAACCCAGATTAGAGTCCGCGCACTTAACCACTACACCAAACGGGGGGAATGTTCCATTTATTTATTTATACGAGGGTTATTTCTCTGCAGTTTCCTAAACCATTGTTTGTCTTTCAGATCTGACATACGAGTTGACTCTCAAAAGTTCAGACTTGACAGGTAAAGGAACTCAGTGTTCAGGGCTGTTCTCGGGGTGGGGTGGGGTGGAGGTGGGCAACACCAGGAAATAATGTTTGGGCATATTCTAGTTTAGGTTCTCAGAGGGAAATATTCAGGGCAAAAAAGTACACAGGAAGTCTGCAAACTTTGGCACAGTGTGCTTTCAGCATCAAGGAAAACAAGTCTGTGGGTTGCCAAGACGACAAAAGAAAGGCTTTGGGGGCCTGGTGGTTCTGCTGTTTGTTCCCACCGGCTCTGGGTGTGGGTGATTTCTTCATCCGCTAAGGAGGTGCTCGTTCCCTTAGCACAATGTGACAGTCACAGTGAGGAGAGAAGTGCCCCATTCACTCACAGTTGGCTCAGTTGTCAGCTCCTCCTTTTTGTAAACGCACATTTTGAAAATCGGTCTGTATAATCCCGAATTGCAACCTGTGCCCTTAGTTAATCACTTGCTAGTTTTTCTCTTCCCAGGCTGGAGAGTCGTTAAAACCATTTAGGGCCTTGCTGGGTGCCGGTGGGGAAATGGGCCTTGCAGAGCCCTTCCGTTGGCCGGCCTACTTAACCCTTTGTGTTTCTTAAACTCTGTAGCATTGCTGACCGTCCCGTCCCCCAGTCCCCGCCCCTCCACACACACACTGAACTTCCTCATCTCTCCATGACCTTCGAGCAGGGTCCCCAACCTTTTTTTTTTTTTGAGCCTGTGGGCACCTTTGGGATTCTGACACAGGGCACTGGGCACAGCAGCAGACGAAACCAACCGCAGAATGTCAGGGAGTGAGGTCGTATTTAACTCTGATTGTACCTCTTCAGCATTTCAGACAGAAGCTCGAGTTAATAGGATGCGTTTTACTCTACCCAGCCCCACCCACTTTCTGGAAAGCACTTGGTGGGCGCCAGGAAAGGTGCCCGCGGGTGCCATGGTATCACATGGGGGACCCCCGGCCTAGAAGCTTTTGGGCATTTCCACTGTGCACCCAGGACTTCCTCTGCTGCTGCTTTCGTGCCTGCCTTTGATCCTGCCTGTTCCACACCGAGCTGTTTCTCTCTCCCTCCGTCTCCTACACACACAAACGGGCCTTCCAGCTTCCTTTCCTGATGAAGGCAGTTTTGACTCTCAGAGGTTTACACCCTGGAAAAACTTTGCTGGCCTTCGGGGTGCCGCTGGAATCGCATCTTGCACCTCCCTTCTTTATTCATTCTCTGCTTCCCTAGAGCCCCAGCAGAGAGGTTGGGTCCACAACAGAAGCTTGTGTTCTCCATCTCCTCCTCCTGAAGTCCTGATGTTATTGCAACCCATGGTCTGGCAGGCTGTAGGCAGAGAACCTCTGTTCTAAGGCGGCAGGTGTTTTCACGCTTCCATGTTTGAGAAATCCCAATCTACTGGCAGTCCACTAGCTTGGCTTCCCTTGCCTGAGGAAAACACATTGTCCTTCAGCCACTGTCTTTCTGTGTACTCTAGCGCTCTGCATCTCTTGTTTGTTCCCAAATGGCTGAAGGGAGCACTTGCTGCTTTCTGACGTAAGAGGTGAGAGTTTCCGCAGCCTTGTAGATTGACTCCAGTTCTTAGCATTAGAGAGAAATGTTCAGAAATGGGGTTGTGACGAAGACTGGGCTTGGTGTGAAACTCTTCCTCCCTCTCTGTCCTTTCAGAAAGCGGGAGCTCAAGGAGCGAAGAGCTCAAGAGGAAGTGCGAAGAGCTCGAGGCTCAGCTCAAAGTGAAAGAGGCCGAAAACAACGAGTTGCTCAAGGAGCTGGAGCAGAAGAACGCCACGATCATGGTCCTCGAGAACACCATCAAGGAGAGGGAGAAGAAGTACCTGGAGGAGCTCAAGATGAAAAGCCATAAGCTCAACATGCTGTCCAGCGAACTGGAGCAGCGGGCGAGCACCATCGCGTACCTCACCTCGCAGCTGCACGCGACGAAGAAAAAGCTCATGAGCTCCAGCGGGACTTCCGACAGCTCCCCTTCCGGAAGCCCGGTGCTGTCCGGCTATAAGCCGGCCCCTCCCAAAGAGAAGCTCCCGGAGACTCCGCGGCGCAGGATGAAGAAGAGTCTGTCTGCCCCGCTGCACCCCGAATTCGAGGAGGCCTACCGGTTAGGGTCGGAGAGCCGGAAGCTGCTCTTGCGGGAGCCCCTGGATGCGATGCCGGATCCCACCCCCTTCCTCCTGGCCAGGGAGGCGGCCGAGATCCACCTGCTCAAAGAGAGGCCTTTAGTCATCCCCCCCATCCCTTCCGAGCGCTCCTGCGCAGAGCCGCACAGCCCGGCGCGGGAGAAGCAGTACAAGGCCCACGTGGGGGTGGCGCACCGCATCCACCACGTCGCTCCCCCCCAGGCCCCGCCGGAGGTCGAGACGCTCGCGGTGGATCAGGTGAACGGGAGCAAAGTGGTCCGAAAGCACTCGGGGACGGACAGAACTGTTTAAGCCAACCGTTTTGGGGGGTGGGTGGGTGGGTGTGACTCTCTTATGCACTGTGATCACAAATAGGGTTAATCGCATCTGCAGTAAATTTTAATTTCTCCCTCTCCAACAGCCCCCCCTGCATGCCAAATTTTTTCCATCACTCTAGAATGACTTCCTTCAGCGGAACCCCGCCAGTCCCACCCCGACTGTGTCCATATCCGCAGAGTCTCTGCTTAATGAAACGCTGTGGCCAAACGCAGGTGTCCGCCTGACTGCTTGCTTCCGACGCTCCGTCATTTAGTCTCAGCGCACTCTGTGGGCAAGCGCCCGGGCAACCGTCTGCATTATTAATCCGTAGCCGTGACAGAACCGGCCTCCTCCCGATAACCCCGCGGCACTGTGTATCGGCTGCTCGTGGTTCCGGTCTCCCCCGTACGTATCCCTTCACACACAGTCAAGACAAATCCTTCGGTGGGGAGGGAGCAGGGAAGGGCTGGCCGCGACGCAGATGCTGGCGTGCGAAGAACCGAGCCAGCTGAACGCACCCTCCCCACGTCCCATCACCTGGTCCCGATCACAGTGTTCATGTTTTCTGTTAACATTTTTATCTAGAGCTACTAAATCCCAACAAACTCTATTTTGTTTAACCCTTGCTGATCTTGTTTTGTGTCCTTTTTGTTCGATATCCGGAGTCTGACAATCGCAACTGGCTCTTCCCCTCCAGGGGGGCAGAGAGGGAACGGCTGGTCACGGGCCAGAAGGGGGCAGGTCTCTCAGCTGCCTGAAGCACAAGGCGGGCTTTTACGGCTTCCGCTGGACCCGAGAGGCAGATCAGTGTGCCTCAGAAATCTGGGGGGCCCAAGTGGGTCCCGTCCTTATGCGTGATTGATGGCAGTCTCTACCGGTGGGGAGGGGGCAGTCAGTGTAAGGGAGGGAGGGGTGCCTCTGCCTTTGAGAGGGGTGGTTCTTCCGCCTTCGGTCCAGCTGGGAGCGCAGGTAGCTGCTTTGCAGACAGACCACGAGGGGCTCGTTTTAAAACCTGACTCCCTTTTGATTGTCCAAGGAAGCCTTTTGCTTTAGAATTTCTCAATTACGTAGGTGTGCACTGTGTCACCTCTGACGGTTAAAGGCCATCTCAACCCACGGCCATTTCCGCACTGCGACTGTTCACAAAGAGGTTCTCCTCCTCTGAGGTCACGGACCCAAGGCAGAGCGTGGAACCCACATGCCGGCCGCGTGCGTCCTTGATAAAGTCACCCAGTCACTTTAGCCTTTGTCAGGTAAGCATAAAAACAGCCCCCGCGGTCTGCTAAAGACGGGAAGCAGTTTCTGTCTTCGTCGGGGTGAACCTGTTGCTGGCTTACAACGTGCCTTCAGCTCAGCTCTTAACCTAGCCTAGGGGAAGGAGCTGCGTGCTCAGCTCTAGGGCTTAACACAGCACGGGGTGTGGCTAAATCTGAATCGTGTTTGGCTGAGTGGCTGGCTGCTTGGCCAATTCAAAGAGCCATTTCCCCCCTCTTTAAACGGACAAGGATGTGTGGTAGCAGGTGGAAGCCACTGTTCTTTGCAATGGGAATCCTGCCGGTAGCTCAGCGTAGTCTTGTTCAGGAAGTATCCTGCCACCGCACTGCAAAGCAGGCCTTCATTCTCCCAGAAAGCCATGTGTGCACCTTAGAGCCACAGGGTCCCCTTTAAGTTTATTCCTGACACTACTGGAAACCCCGTATCTTTGGCCAACCACATTTCCCAACACAATCCTTAACTGGGTGTGCATGATATTTTGGGGGGTCTCTAACCCATTCTTGCCTCCTGGATTCATTTATTGTGTGAATTATGTGTTGGGATTTCTCTTCACGAGTAAGCACTTAAGTCTCTCTTAGAGACTAAAGGGAAATCTTTAGTTTTAACCAGACACCATTTTTAAATGTATTGCATTAACCACCACTGGTTTTGGTCACTTTATCTATAACTTCTATTTATTCCCATGTCCAGTGATGGAAAACAGCCTAAGATGCTGGGAAAACTGTACTGTAAAATTAAAAACGCTCCAAACCTTTCTTACAATCCTGTGGCCCCAAATATATGGTAGTCCGTGTCTGATTTCACTGGGAATCCCGCCTGGCACCAGCTAAGGTGAAGAGTCTTCAAAGAAATCCAGTTATTTACCTCTGCTACATCTTCTGGCCAAAGAGCATGACTTCTCTTAAGTTTTTTAAAAACTTTATTTCCAAACAAATGACTGTTCTACAACTGCATTTAAATAAACAACGACACGGGAGTGCCACTTAAAAATATTTTTAGGCAAATCCTTCTGTGAAATGTGAGTTCAGAATCTTCCAAAAACAAGGAGATTCCTGGGGTACCACCAGGTAAGGCCAGGCGGGGCTGTGGTGCCACCCGCGGAGGAGGCCGCAGAACCGCAGTGCCACTAATCAGCGTTCAGCGTGAGGCTGACTCCCTGCAGTACCCAGTGGGAAATATGCCTCGTGGTAAAAAGATCGGCTTCGAACACCAGGCCCACACCCATGGCATTCCTCCGCATGGACGTCGTGTACACGGGTGTCCGGAAGGTGTTCTACGGGGAAGCAAACAGCAGAGTCAAAAGTGTGGTAGAGCCTCATCAAGGGGATCCGGAGCATCAGTGATCAGGGACTGTTCTGGCTCGTGAAGGCACATCCGTTACCAAGTGGAGCTTGTGAACGGCTATGCAGGGTTGGTTCTTTGCAGAGCAGAAATCAGTGGCGAGCACATGACATTCCACGTATACATGTGGCCAGTGTTCCCTCTAAGCTGAGTGAGTGTGAGCTAGCTCACAGTTTTTTAGCCTCCGGCTCACACATTTTCATCTCAGCTCAGGAAGGAAGGCTCCGGAGCAAACCGATTTATTCAGTAGCCAAATCGCTCGCTCACAACTTTAATGCCAGTGGCTCACAGAGTATAATTTTTGCTCACAAGACTTCACAGTTTAGAGGGAACATTGGATGTGGCTACACTAGGAACAGAGCGCTCCTATATTTACAGTTATGACTAAACGTTTCTCATAATGTTAGTCAGCGTTCCCTCTAAGCTGGGTTAGTGTGAGCTAGCTCACAGTTTTTTTAGTCTCTGGCTCACAGATTTTTGTCCTAGCTCGGGAAGGATGGCTCCAGAGCAAACTGATTTATGCAGCGGCCAAATTGCTCACTCACAGCTTTAATGCCAGCAGCTCACAAAGTAGAATTTCTGCTCACAAGGCTCCACAGCTTAGAGGGAGTCTTGGTGTTCGTGTAGCCTGCTCACAGCTGTGATGTTCCAGCGCATGCAGGAGCTACAAAAGGTGGCCTGACGGGCAGGGAAACGATAATCACAGCAGGAACGCTGAAAGTCATCTCAGATCTCCCAAGGGCTGAGTGTGTGCGAGAGAGAGGTGGAGGATGACTGCACCTATGGACCTGTCTGAAATACTGTGACCGTCTGACCGTGAAAAACAGCTGTACACATCTGGTCGGGGGGGGGAGGGTTCCAGGCCCCTTGCGGTTTAAAGAAAGCCCCCAAGCCCGCCCTTGCCTGCTCGTACCTGTAGCTTGAGCCGATGGGCCTCGATGGGGATGATCTTCAGGATGGGCAAGTCCACAACCAGCACTTTGGGCTTGCTCTTGATGAGGCAGCTGTTCTCCAGGTCCCAGTCGGCGCCTTCCAGATACAGGCCGGAAACAAAACACCCTGGCGTGGGGGGGAGACCAGAATGACATTACGATGGGAACGGGGAAAGCCATCCTTTGGGAATGAACACACTCCAGCTCCTCAAGTGCGAGACCTTATGAAGCTCATGATGTATTCTATTATAGAGGGTCCTTACGACAGGGGTGTCAAACTCATTTGTTACGAGGGCCGGATCTGACATAAATGTCGGGCTGGGCCACATGTGCCATAAAATGTAATGCTGGGTACAGGAGATAGAAACTGTATAAAGGACAGCAGCTTGTAAGCTCCACATTGGTGTATCCTCACTGCAAGGCCCCCTGGGGTGGGAGGCATGTGCAGAGGAAAACCCACATACGTGGACTGGAGAGGCAGCAGTGCAGTGCTGGGCAGAGGCTCTCACAATGCTTGACTGCTGCAGGCGAGGTGGTTCTGCCGGGCCAAAGCTACAATGGAGTGGCTCCGCCCACTTCCCCCTGCACTCCCTCCCTCGCATTAGTTGCTCGTGGGCAGGCCTTATGTTCCACACCCCTGCCTTAAGATATCCCCATGGACCTACCTGCCACATAAAGACTTTATGTAGAAGTTTCTGGCACTTTATTTTAGGATTGCTCAATTGATCTGTCAACATGTTGACCAAGTATAATTTATTTTAAAACGTGCCACCGAGTCACAAATGACTCATGGTGACCCCAGGTAGTTCCACCTCATGGGATTTTTCAAGGCGAGAGCCCGAGTCTTTCTTGGTGGCCTCCCGTGCAAGTACTGGCCCTGCACAGCTTCCGAGTTCTGACAAGACCAGGCTAGTCTGGGGTATGAGGGCTGCCACAGTATTTGTAACAACTGCATCCCCCTTCCTCCCTATCAATTAGTTACACTCATTGCAAAAATATGTTGGTTAACCATGAAGATGAAACAAATTAAATTTTTTAAACATAATTACTGTAACTTTTAGCTAAAGTTCCTAAAGGTGAACAATTCATGGAACAGAACAAAGTTGGAGTCCAGGGGCACCTTTAAGACCCACAAAGTTTAATTCTGGGTAGAAGCTTTCGTTGCATGCACACTTCTTCAGACATCCTGAGGGAGCATGCGTGCACACAGAAACTTACACCTGGAAGTAAACTGTTGGTCTAAAAGGTCACGCCCCTGGACTCCAACTCTGTCCTGCTGTTTCAGACTGACACGGCTCCCCACCTGAATCTAAGACACAGAACAGTTTCTCTCTCTCGCTCTTGTGCTGGAGCACTGAGGACATGTTGCAGGTACAGCAATTAAAAGAAGCCAGCCAAACTATTGAAAACCAAGGCTTGCTGGGAAATGCCTGCGGCTGTAGCAGGTGTCCGACAGGAGAAGCTCTGCTTTGCTGCCACGTTTGCCCCTGACTGCTACGGGGCTGGGGGGTGGGAGCCCTCACTTCCTTGCCCTTGCTAAGAAAGGAGGTGAACCAGAATAGGAAAGCTGGCGGCTACCTGACGCAGCTGTGCTCTTGGCTACAGGCAATCCTTGATCGGTCAATTAGCCAGCAATGTCAGCCGCGCTGGTTGCTTTTAACGAATGGCCACGATGCAGGGAAAAGCAATCTGTCTTAATCAGCGGGCTCTGATTGCAACATGCCAACCAGTGTTCCCTCTAAGCTGAGTGTGAGCTAACACAGTTTTTTAGCCTCTGGCTCACACATTTTTGTTTTCGCTCAGGAAGGAGGGCTCCAGAGCACACTAATTTATGCAGCAGCCAAATGGCTCACAACTTTAATGCCAGTAGTTCCCAAAGTAGAATTTTTGCTCACGAGACTCCACAGCTTAGAGGGAGCACTAATGCCAACACCCTTTGTGCAACAACGGGAACCTCACAAGGCTTCCACCAGAGTCCTACCTTGGCCGGGGCGTTCACTAACTTCATCGACTGTCCTGTACTTGGTCACTTGGGTATACAAGGTGGAGCGGTCCAGAGGCCAGCTGTTTTTCCTGCAGGTTGCCTGAACAAGCGCCGTGAGGTAAGACTCGGGGATGTGCAGTCCCGATAGCCACATGACGCTGGGTTCGCCATCTTCAACCTACAAACGCAAACTCGAGTGTTTCTTTGCCAGGTCCAAATCACAGGCGCAATCTGACTTGGCCAGTGTGATGTGGTGATTACAACGACACACGAAAAGGAGGAGGAGGTTGGATTTATACCCCACCCTTCACTCCCCAAAGGAGTCTCAGAACGGCTTACAAAGTCCTTTCCCTTCCCCTCCCTGCAACAGACACCCTTGAGGTAGGTGGGGCTGAGAGAGCTCTCTCGAGAACTGCCCCTGAGAGAACAGCTCTGAGAGAACTGTGGCTTGCCCAAGGTCACACCAGCAGCTGCAAGTGGAGAAGTGGGGAATCAAACCCGGTTCTCTCAGATTAGAGTCCGTGCTCTTAACCACTACACCAAGCTGGCTCTGTATTCACATCCCCACTTTGCCAGGGAGCTCCCTGGCTGACCACGACCTCATCACACGCTCGGCATAACTCACAGGATTGTTGCGAGGATAAAATGGAGGGAGCAGAGAACTTTGGAGGCTCTCCTGAAATAACTGGGTGCATTTAAGCACACTGCATTTCCATGAGCTTTTCGCCTTTTTGTTCTTCCCAGGGCACACACGGAGAGCAGGTTCCAAAGAAAGCCCGTCTTGCACTCACCCATGTCGTGTACTGGTTGTGCCTATTCCGAAAATGAATCATCCAGTTTGCCAGTGTTTTCAGTGTGTCAGGGGCCAGCTTTCTCCAGATGCCTGGGATCTGCCCATTAAACAGAGCCCGGGCCACATCATCTAGTACGTTGCTCATTCCAACCTCCCCAGCCAAGGCCTGGTGAGAGAGAAGCCAGAGATGTCTTGTTACAGTTCACTGCCCAAGGGGAAGAGGGGGTGTATGAACACAGGAGGCTGCCTTATACGGAATCAGACTGTCGTTCCATCAAGGCCAGTCTTGTCTACTCAGGCCGGCAGCTGCTCTCCAGGGTCTCTAGCAGAGGCCTTTCACATCGCCTACGGCCAGATCATTTTAACTGGCGATGCTGGGGACTGAACCTGGGACTTTCTGCATGCCAAGCAGATGCCACTGAGCCGGTGTGTGTGTACGGCAGTGACAAGAGAGAATCAGAACTGGAGGGCATCCAATGAAGCCGTAGCTTCAGGGCAGAAAAAAGGAAAGACTACTTTAGGCAGAGAGTGATTAAAATATGGAATTCACTGCCAGAGGAGGTAGTGGTGGCCACAGGAATAAGCGGCTCTAAAGGGATTCGACAGATTCATGGGGGATAAGTCTATCAACGGCTACTAGCTATGGTGACTGAGGGGAATATCCACATTCAGAGCACTAATCTCCTGAATCCGAGAGCCAGGAGGCAACGTCAGGGAAGCCCTCGGCCTCGATGCCCTCTTGGTGGCCCTCCAGAGGAACTAT